CTGGGCAAGGAGACACTGCTTCAGAGATGCTTTCTATGTCCTTCAACAGACTTGACTCACCAACGTGCCATACTTTTGGATCTCATTCTCTGAGCCTTGATGCCACCTCGCAATCTACAAAGAGGTGAGTAGTTTTTGAGCCTCAAGAAACTCATTTAAAAATTCCTTTTGTTGGGGGGGCTTCCTCTTTTTTTTATGTTAGAGTATCAAAAAGTCCCATAAAATTAACTGGTCAAAAAAACAATCTCTATCTGTAGGAAGACCCACCTTTCCAGTTTCCAGTTTTCATTGGTCAATGACCTGGTCATAAGGAGTGCTCCTAAGAAGGTGGGTTCATCTCATTATGCTAAAGAGATGGGCAGAATACGTAGTGCGTTAATGAGATAGTGAACTTTTCTTGCTTAGAATCCCTGCTTCCTATCACAGTTCTTATGGATCTGGGTCTCGTCTCAGACATGTGGCTTTCTTGCTTACTTTTCTGAATTCTTCAGAAAACCGTAATCTCTCTCCTTTTCTTCTTCATATCCCATTTCTAAACACGCTTTAACACTTTGGGTTGCCCCAGTATCTTGTACTTCTTTACTTTTTCTCTAAAGCTTCTTTTGCCCTACCATATGGCTGCTAGTCCGCCATGTATCTGACCTCCATGCAATCTCTAAACCAACATGGCTTTGTGGTTTTTATTTTGTCCCTCTCCCCTCCCTTCTGCTCCTCAAGGCAGTCCCAGCTTGCCTGCCCTGAGGATTTTTCTTTAAATATTAATAAAATTATCCTGAGGCTTCCATTTGAGTTCATTCTTAAATTCCTTTATGAATGAGATTAAGAACCCTCTAGGGGATGCTATTTCTCCCCTGTATCACATTTTTATCACCTCCTCTTCATTTACCTAAAACATCTCCCCCAAGAGACTTGTGCTGGATAGTTGCATTTGTCAACTTGATATACCTGGGAAGAGGGACCCTCAATTGTGGAATTCCCTTTATCTGACTGGCCTATGGGCATGTCTAATAAGGCATTTTCTTGATTGATGAATGATGTGGGAAGACCCAGTGCCTGGTAGTGGTGGTGCCACTCTGTGTAGGAGAAAGCAGGCTGAGCACAGGCCAGAGGAACAAGTCAGTCAGCAGTGTATTTCTATGGTATCTGATTCAGCTCCTGCCCCCAGGTTCCTGCCCTACTTGAATTCTTGTCTTGGCTTCCCTGATGGACTGTGATCAGAACACATAAGCAAAATAAACCCTTTCCCCCTCCAAGTTGGTTTTGGTCAGGTTTTTTTTTTTTTTTTTTTAAATCACAGCAATAGAGAAACAAACTAGAACAAGACTGTTGGTGACCTTTCTTCTCTCTTCCTCTTAATCCTGCCTTATTACCATAAATTTAACTACTTCTGAAGAGCCAAAGAATCTTGGCTGGTTTGCTAAGTTCTAAAACCCCCATTTCCTACTGTCTGCTATGTATCTTCAGTTGGATAGCTTACTGGCATCTTGCATTCAGTATAACTGGAAGTGAGTTTATCTTCTCATGCACAGATTCATAAACAGAAAGCCAAATCACACCAAAAAGCAAATGCTTCATCAAGTAAGGTATGCTAAGAATTTTGTTTTGTTTTCTACAACAATGGAAAACTATCTTATTCTTTGGTTTTTTACAGATGCAAATTTTGAGTAAGAGTTCTTCCAATATTTCTTCATTTTGCCTGTCCCACATGTGGCAGCCTCATCATGGTACAGATGATTGAGGGAATTGAAGATCTGACTTTAGTTTGTTCTGTTTATGAACTCTAGTAATACATTATCCATCAAGTAATAAATTAATTCCGGTAACTTGGGACATAGTACTGACTTTATGCCCTCTATATTTGTTTCCAAAGACCAAAACATGTACAGAACTCTTGAATTTTACCTGTACTCTGTTGCTGGTGGTATCAGAACAGTAATTTTATCCACCCACCCACCCACTCATCCATCCAGTAGTGCCAGGGATAAAATGTTGCAATATGTGAGGCAAATGCGTAACACTTTTTATTTTATTATTTTTATTTTATGTGTATGTGAGTATTGCCTGCATGTAGGTAAGTGAACCCATGCTGTGCAATGACTGTGGAGGTCAGAAGAGGCTGTCAGATCCCCTGGAACTGGCATTACGGACCGTTGTTAGCTGCCATGTAGATGCTGGGATTTGAACCCCGGTCTTCTGCAAGAACAGTCAGTGTTCTTAACTGCTGAGTCACCTCTCCAGCCCCCGTAACACTTTTTAAATCATTTTGTGTTTATTGTAGGATACAGCAAATATACTGACTGTAGAAATTAGGGGGGTAGGGAGGGGAGAAGAAGAACTCTGAGCAACTGTGTTACAGTAAAGAATGAAATCTACCTCTAGGTGGAGACATGCTCAGTTGGGCAGGTCAAGGACCTAGCCTAAGAGAATCTATTTTTCCTTCTCAGAATTCCCTCTTCCTTGCTGCCAGGAGGTTCAGGTGAGGCTGCCCACTGTTCTGAGTCAGAAAGGTATACCTATATTGCTTCTGTCCTTTTCTTTCCAAATGCTGGCCAGAGCCTCAATATGCTTTGCCTGGTACTCCTTCTGTAAAACTCCCCTCCATACTGCCACTTGTCCATCAAGCAGCTGAACTCTATGTGGCTTAACTCAAGTAGCATGGCCTTTTCCCTTCTCTTCTCCAGTCTCTCCAGGCAGCTGCCAAGAATTACCACTTGCCTGCTCTGGGGTTTTTCTTTTGAACTAATGAGTTTGCTTTAATTTTCTTTCTTTCTTTTTCTTTCTTTCTTTCTTTCTTTCTCTTTCTCTCTCTTTTTCTTTCTTTCTCTCTCTCTTTTATTTATTTATTTATTTATTTGGTAATGAGACTAAGAACCCCAAGAGGGGACCTTAATTTTCCTGGAACCAATTGGATTGGTTACCTAGTGTATGGCTTGTGTGCCTGTGAACTCTGTCTATATAGGTTTCTATGTGTAACAATGTGAACCTATAGGGCCTTAATCTTGATTTCTAAATATTCTCTTTTACTAAAATGAAACATTATTCCTTGGAGAAATGACTGATTCTAGGTCTGAGGAGGAAATGTGTATAGGAATGTAAAATATATTGTTCTAGGAAGCAACAAAGTGCTCAAAAATAGAGGAGGAAATATTAAGGACATAGGGGCTGGTTTGAAAAAGCTCACAAGAGCCAAATCTGTGTGTCTAACAGGAATGGCAGAAAGAATACTGAATAGAAAGAATCCATGAGTCAACAGTAATTAACATAAGGATGATAACAAAAAACGAATGGGGTCTGCTAGTTAGTAAATGCAAAAGAAATGACAAAACTAAAAAAATCACCACAGGGGCCTAGGGAGATGGGCTGCCAGTATAGCGCTTGTCATTATTTTTATTTTATATGCATGAGTGTTATGCCTGCATGTGTGTAAGGTGCACCTGTGCAATGCCCATGGCGGTCAGAAGAAGGTGTCAGATTCTCCTGGAACTGGTGTTATGGATCATTGTTAGTTGCCATATGGGTTCTGGGAATCGAACCTGGGTCCTCTGTAAGAGCAATCAGTGCTCTTAACCACCAAACCATCTCTCCAGCTCCTATAGTGCTTGTCTTGTAAGCATGAGGAAGGACTTGAGTTTTTGGTGGTGCTTGCAATCCTAGTGCTGGTGGCAGAGATGAGAAGATCCTTGGGGACTGTTGTCCAGGCAGGTTAGCTTAATTGACAAGTTTAACACCAATTAATGAGAGACCGTTTCAAAAACACCACCAAATACAACAGAATCAAACACAGAAAAACAAGGTGGACAGCTCCAGAGAAACACCCAAGGTTGACATCTGGCTTCCACACACAGGCACACACATACACATGCACCTGTGGAGAGATGGCTCAGCAATTAAGAGCACTGGCTCTTCTTCCAGAGGACCTGGGTTCAGTTCCCAGCACCCACATGGCAGTTAACAACCATCTGTAACTGTAGTTCCAGGGGATTGGATGCCCCCTTCTGGCCTCTGAAGGCTTTTCATGTTTTCACGACACAGGTGCACTTACATACCGGTAGGCAAAACACTCATACACAAAAAATAATAAATCTTAAAAAATTAAAAAATCAGGAAGAACAACACTGGAGCTGACTGTGGTGCATACCTGCAATTCCACTTGGCAGGTTGAAGTAGGAGAATCACGGCTTGGAGGCCAGCCTGGGCTGTAAGGTAATATATTCAAGCAGTTTATCAGATATTAAATATGAAAAACGTCCTCCACTCCCTAAACGAATGGTAACCATTAAAATCACTATTAAAAAACTCTTTCCTATAATATTATGGGTATGTTTATGGAAGCATTTGCTCCCCATCCTCATTCCTACGTATGCCACCTTTCCTGACCTCAAATGTATATATTTTAAAATTTATTTATGAGGAGAGGGGAAAGGTGAGAGAATATGCACACCATGGCATGTATATGGAGGTTAGAGGACAACTTTGTGGGACTTGGTTTTGTCCTTCAATATGTGGCTCCCAGGGATTGAACTCAGGCTTAGTGGCAGGTACATTTACCTGTTCAGCCAACCCTTTGAGCCTTTTTTCATTTACCAATATATTTTGGACATCCTTTCTAAAAGTGTAGACAGATAATATCTTGTTGGTTTTAACATTTTATTTTGTGTGTGAATGTGTATGCATATGTGGGTGTGCCACAGTGTACATAGGGAGGTCAGAGGACAACTTGGAGGAGCTGGTGTTCTCCTTCCTTAACAAAAGGATTTAAGATAGCATTTTAATGATGATGGCTGCTAGTTTATGAACAGTGACTTGGGAATGGGTATAAAAAGCAAGCAGAAAGCATATAGGTTGTAGCTGATATCAGACATCTACTTTAGTAGAGTCTTAAGTACTATGATTTCCTAGAGGTATGATTACCTCAAATCTCCTCTAGATACAGGAAATTGTAACATGTTCAGTTCAAGATATTAAAAAAAACACTTAAAATAGAAACTGCAAAATGTATCTGTAGTTTAAAGGTCAAATTTATTAGGAGATTAAGAGACGTATTATATGTGGACTATAAATACTGTGCAGCTGACTAGTCACAGTCAAGCAGAAATAGTCAGTGCCAACCTATTTTGTAGATACTCTTGTTCTTTTGTTCCAAGCAAAGTTTGCACCATAAGACTTGGACTTGGGTTTCGGAACCTTCCTCTCTTCCACGTCATAGCTCCAACCTAGAGGGAAAGACAAAACAAACAAAAACAAAACAAAACCCACAAGAACAGAATTAATGGGGATACTTGAAGAACACAGCAAGCAGAGGCTAAGTTTTATAATTTCATGTTTATTTATCAACAGGAGTAAATGTCAACACATCTGAAATATAAATACTTATTTGGTAATTTATTCCCTCAGAATCCTGTGTGCAAGAGTCCAAACATTGTCTGAAGATGATTTATCCTATTTCAAATTAAAGGTGAAACCCATGATTTAATTTCTACTTACTTAAAATCTCTTAGTTACTGATGGCTATGCACTGTACAGAATTAGATTTCTGTGTATGATTTTTAACATGTTACTTCTTTAAAAACTACAAAGAACACTAAATTATATAACTCACTTCACTATTCTAAAATCTGGTGTCTTTACAACAGTGTGGGACACATCTGAAATTACAGAGGAAACACACATACAATCATTCCACAGTGGAATGGGACCTTGAGAGACTACCTGGTTCAGTCCCCTTACTAGCTAAACTGAGAAAAGATTTTTCAACTTTTGTTCAGGGGTTATTTGATCAGTTTGAATCATAAGGAAGTTCTGGATAACAATGCAAAATTTGAGAAAGGACTAAAAGCCAGTTGGATCAGAGTGTCTGATGGGAACTTGAGAAGTTACATTTAAATTTTCAATTCCAGATTACTAGTAAACAAAACTGAGAGCCTATGTTCGAAACTATTCTTTTCTGAGAGTTTGTATCCTCTCTCTAAAGCCTTTTCAGTGTTTTGTAACTTAGAGAACCTGGCTTACTTATGTGGGTATCTTCTGGTTTAAGTTGTCATCTTTAGTTCTCCCAGGAAAGAGAACAATCCAATCAACATACTCCTTGAAAATTATTGTTCCCCTTCTGTTCCCTAGGCTAAGCAACTCTAACAAATTTTATTTTTCATTATAAAATACATTTTCCCAACATCCTTCTATTAGAATTTTTCCCAAATATGTTTCAAGATAATCATGTATTAAGTGTCCAAACTGCATTATCATAAAATCAAAGCAAGAGAACATCTTAATTATACAAGTTTTTAAGTAATCCAATGTCTTCCTGAGTATACTTGCTGCCATAAAGCTTATGTCTCAACTGTCTCAAGATTGAATTCAATTTTGTCACAAAAGTAAAACCTATGAAGCTCAAGTCAAAGTATATTACTGCAATTGTCCAAAAAAGGAAAACAGTAACATTTAACATAATACTTTAATCTTTTAAACTCCTTTATTCATATATCCCCATTGCTAGAACTCTATTCATGTTCAAAGAAAGTTCATACCTATAAGAAGATGAGAAATCAGAAAGGAAAGTTAAACATTAGATTAATTTCAATTCTGTCATGGTTTTTCTTTGTGTGTGGTAGATAAATGCATAAAAATATAAAGGAAGTTCCATGCCTTCAAAATGGCCATCCTCACTGTGCAAAAGTTTGGGACTGGGTAAGTGTTTGAGTAGCTACCTTAAGTTAGTGAGTTCCAAGTGAGTTCAAGTTAAGTAAGTGAGTCCATTAAAATAATTTTAAAAACATTAAATATAATACAGAAAATAAGTAACTCATGTGCTCAGCATCACTCTCAGAGTAATGTTTTGAGTACTTTCCTCACTCTAAAAAAAAAAAAACCAACACTGCAGTTTAAGAGAATCTGAACTTAGCCTGGTGTGGTGGCACACACCTTTGCTCCCAGCACTCGGAAGGCAGAGGCAGGCAGATCTCTTTGAATTCAAGGCTAGCCTGGTCTACATAGTGAGTTCCAGGACAGCTGGGGCTACAGGGAGACCCTGTGTCAAAAAGACCAAAAACTGTCCCTGCACCCACAGGACAAAGCTCTAGTTCCATTTGGCCATCTTGGGAATCCCAGGCAGGAAGAGTATGACAGAAAAGAGAAATAAATAAGTAAATGTGAGACAGTTAGTAAGCTCAGGCATTATCAAAAATTAAATTATATCTCATATGTGTTTGAAATCAAAATGTGTTTGTGCCAGACATGGTGGCTCACACTTACAGTCCCAGGACTTGGGAGGCTGAAGCAGGAAAGTGATGTCAGTCCAGGCCAGCATGGGCTGCAAAGTGAGCTTGAGGCTAGCCTAGAATAAACAGAAAGACCCAAAAAAAAAAAAAAAAAAAAAAAAAAAAGAAAAAAAGAAAAAGAGAATGTGAGCTTATAAAACAAGTACATTAAGTAGTAATTCTTGGCATTTAATCACTTACTGAGTTCTATGAGAAGGGCACATAAATATTGTTTAAAGGTCAGAGGTTAACTAGCACAGGTCACTCAGTCAGGAAGGGGCTGTGACAGGCAGTCTGACTATGCCTTAAATCTTTTGTTGTAGTCTTTCTTGTGGTTATAGTAAGTACTTGAAAATGTGAAGCTACTTTTCTACCTGAAACCGGATTCACAACTTTTAAAGTATTCATAAGTAAATTTCTATCACATTGAGCCCATTATGTCTGCATGTGTGATGAACTAGGTATAATCAGCTAAAACCTAGTTATTAACTATGGATAGGGGTTTTGGTAGGTAAGTTAATAGAGTAGACTTAGCCTGGAAAATTTAAACATCGTAAACTTCTTAAGCACTTTCCACATTAATCAGCAAATGCTGTTAACTATAAACACACAATTAAGCAAATATATTTATTGAACATTTACTATTGATTGTTTATTCTGTGTGAAAGACTATTTTTAGAGAGGAGGTAAACCAAGGAATAAAACAAACAAAAATCCCAAACTGCTTAAAGTTAATAGGGAAGTGGAATTAATAATAAACACATAATATTCTAGGTGTTGATAAAGGTAAATCTCTAAATTAAAGTATATGTATACTTTAATGAGTACTAAGGAGAAAGTACTTACATAAAGTAGATGGGAAAGCCCACGTGTTCTGTGAAGACTTGAAGGGGTCAGGGAGTGTGCCATGTGGACCTCTCTGAAAGACTTTAGAGCAACTGCAAAGGTCTTGGGCCAACAGCATACCTGGCTTACTGAGACCCATGTTTTAGATTTATAATCCATGCTAAGGATTTATAAATACTTTTTGTTTGGTCCTTTTGAGACAGGGTCTCCCTATAGTCCCAGCTGGCCTGGAACTCACTATGTAGACCAAGCTGGCCTTGAACTCACAGAGCTCTGCCTATTTCTGCCTCCTGAGTCCTGGGACTAAAGGCATGTGCCGCCATGCCTGGCCTACAAATACATTTTTAAACAGTATTTTTTTAAGTTTTCAAGTTGCTTGGCTTATGAGAGAAGCATTATATATATGTATCATATACATAGTTATAAATATGACTTATATCTAGACCACACATTTACTTATAAAAGAAATAAAATAAGCCCTAAAAGTTGGTTATAAGAGCCAAAGTCATTTTAACCTAGGTTGATTTTAAAACTATACTGACCACATATAAAACTGAATTTCTTTTTGAGACAGGGTCTCACCATGTAGCCCTGGTTGACCCGGAACTTGATATAGACCAGGTTGGTGTCAAAGTCCCAGAGATCTACCTGGCTCTGCCTCCCCAAGTGCTGAAATTAAAGGCATGTAGCACCATGCCAGCCCCAAACTGAATTTCATTAAAAATATAATTTTAATTTCACCCATTTCCTCTCAACCTACTATTGTGTAATTTTTTTCATTTAAAAAATATTTTCAAAAGCCTTTTAAGAATCCTTGAAAAATAATTCTATGACCCTACAATGCTCACTCTACCCAGTCCCAACTATGGAGAAAGGAAACAAGAGAGGTTTCTATGTCTGTTATGCTGGTCACTGCTAAGTTACTCAAGAATTCTATGATCTTCTTTTGCCTGTGATGGGTGAGAAGCATGTTCCCTCTCCCCCTACTGCCTGCCAATATATACTTTCCCATTCAATGAGGTCATGAGAAGACCTGAAGAAATGGGGTCACTTGAAATACTATGAACTGTAATTGCACACATTCCATCAGAACCTAGGCCTTGCTCTATTATCTGTTCTTGTCATGGAGTTTCAGAATGCTGCCAAAGTCAGTGTGATGAGAGACTAGAGCTTTACACACAGGAAAGAACAACTGGTTTGGTTTTCTCCTGGGAACTATGAGCCAGATTATAGCTGTTATTGATGGTGATAACAACAGTAAATAGAAGTATCAAGACAGGAATTGGAATGTGAGTGGGCAAAGCACCCTGAGAAAAAACAAGAATACATTTTTGGAAATATCTGTAACTCGTGGTTATGATCTCTATTGTTGCCCTACTACAGTCCACTAGGATTGTCAGAATATGTAGGGGAAAATAAATGACCCCCCCACCCATTTTTCTGTGGAAACAACTTTGTTCCCAAGCTGAATAAGTGCGTCTCTAATTAAATAAAAGCAAAGAAGGATATGAGGCAGTCTTATGGCAATTCACAACAGAGACTAAAAGTAAAGTAACTCTCTTCAGATCTTCAATCATTCAGCAAATGTTTTTAGCTATGCAGGGCTATTATAATAAAATGTGCTCTTCTGGGGACATTAAGACAAAATAACTCTAAAGATAACATTTGAGAAGATCTTAAGTATATACTTAGCAGTGGGTAAGTGCCATGACTTATACTCTTTTCTACTTCCCATCTGAAATTTGTTCCTAAAACGGAAGAATATATTTTGCATAAAATATAAAGATCTTACTTGTAAAATGTTTTCAATATATTAATTCTATCTTTTTCAACTCTAAGATTTTGTTGTTTTGTTTTTTAAACAAATACTCCAAACGTGTTTGTGGTGAAGAACTGAAACGCTGCACTTGTCTGGAGAACACCCATACAAAGTGAAGGTGCAGTCCATGACAATGCTCCCATCTGCTGTCTTATTAGGTCACTCAAAACCAGGCCTTGTTCTTTCCAGCTGTGCAACAAGAAGATCAAAGCAACTGAGTCCAAGGCAGCTGCCCAGGGATGGAGTAAAGCTCCAGGGCTCCCATCACTTCCCACTGAGGAGAGTAGCCATATGG